TCTTGAGAATAAGACCCTTACACTTAGAACAGCTTACGAGCAAGCCTATATCTTCGAATGTGCTATACAGCAGTCTAGTTCTTATTTACAGCCAGACACCGTGGGCGCCGCGTTAAACCCACCTGTTCTTACTGTCCCCCCTCATGACGATAGTCCGACGAAGCTTCAAGAACAATCGGTCACTGCCGCTTTAAAAAAGGACACTTGCTATTTTTGCGGCTTATCTAAACACCTACGAGTCTCATGCCCTGCCAGAGATACTCGTTGTCATAAATGTGGAAAACTTGGTCATTTTTCAAAGGTATGCAAGTCTTCTAAAACTCTATACAAATCCACTCGTCAAAATACTTCTGCAACTTTAGCCGCCTCCCCGACTGCCTTTCAAAAACTATTGTAAAAGTGAAAATTAACGGGAGGTCTACAAATGCCCTGCTCGATACCGGGAGCTCAGGAAATTTTATCAAAGAAAGCTTGGTAAAAACCAACAAATTGTATTTTGTCCCTCCCCAGCAGAGTAACAATGGCAAACGCGTCATTGTCTGCGCAAGTAAGTGGTTATTGTTTGGTGGACTTACTATTTAATGACGTCTCCTATAAAACCACTAAATTATCCGTAATGAAAAACCTTTGTTGCGAAATAATACTGGGACACGATTTTTTGCAGCAACACTCACAGGTTGAAATTCCGTTTGGCGGTTCAATGCCCGCATTGAAAATTTGTGGATTGGCGACAGCAAAAATCCAGTACCCGTCACTTTTCGAAAACCTAACTGAAAACTGCAAACCCATAGCAGTGAGAAGCAGACGTTTTTCTTATAATAATAAAAAAATTCATTGACTCTGAGATAAAAAGACTACTTGAGGAGGGTATAATTGAGCCTAGCAAATCACCCTGGAGGGCTCAGGTAGTTATAACCACTTCTAGCAACCATAAAAAGAGAATGGTTATAGATTACTCCCAAAGCATAAATAGATTTACTCTTTTGGACGCCTTCCCACTACCCAGGATAGATGAAATGATAGGCGAAATAGCCAAATATCGTATGTTTAGCACTCTGGACTTGAAAAGCGCGTACCATCAGATCGCCATTAGACCTAGAGACAAGCCATACACTGCTTTCGAGGCGAACGGTCGACTATATCAATTTCGCAGGATTCCTTTTGGCGTTACGAATGGGGTAGCCAGCTTCAAAGGATAGTCGACCAAATCATAACGGATGAGAAACTGGAAGGCACATTTGCGTACATCGACAACGTCACAGTATGTGGCCATAATAGAAAGGAACACGACGAAAATCTCAGACGGTTCATGTCCGCCGTCGATAAATACAACCTTACCCTAAACGACGACAAATGCTCGTTTGGACTGGACAAAATAAACCTACTGGGGTATACCATAAGCAAAGGTTTTATGGCACCGGACGCAGATCGATTGAAACCTTTACTCCAGATGCCTGTCCCTCACAACCAGCCTTCCCTTCGGCGTGCTATGGGCATGTTTGCTCATTACTCTCAATGGATTGCTTCGTTCTCAGAAAAGATACATCCATTGACACAAGTAGAGACGTTTCCTCTGTCCCATCAAGCCGTTGAGGCATTCGAGAGACTGAAAAAGGATATTGCGAAATCTGCAATTACAACAATAGACCAAAATATTCCTCTGGTTGTTGAAACGGATGCGTCAGACTGCTATTGCTGCTTCTTTGAAACAAGCTGATCGTCCTGTAGCCTTCTTTTCAAGGACCCTCTCACAGGCTGAACGACGACACCCCGCAATTGAAAAGGAAGCCTACGCCATAGTCGAGGCATTAAGAAAATGGCGACACTACCTGATCGGACGCCACTTTAAACTTATTACTGACCAGAAATCAGTTGCTTTTATGTTCAACTCTAAAACTACGAGTAAAATAAAGAATGAGAAAATAGCGAGGTGGAGAATTGAGCTATCTTGTTTCTCCTTTGATGTCAGCTACCGACCTGGCAAGAACTTAACAGCTGATACACTGTCAAGAGCATGCTGTACGGCATCAAGCGGGGACGAACTCCGAACGCTACATAACAATCTCTGTCACCCGGGCATTACTCGAATGGTTCATGCTGTGAGGTGTAGAAACTTGCCTTTCTCAGTGGAGGAGGTAAAAAGAATTACAAATTCTTGTCGAACGTGTGCTGAAATAAAGCCTCGGTTTTATAAACCCCAAACTGGCGTTTTAATAAAAGCAACACAACCGTTTGAAAGACTCAATCTTGATTTTAAAGGACCGCTACCAAGTAAAACAAGGAACAGATATATATTAACGGTTATCGACGAATATTCACGGTTTCCTTTTGCCTTCCCTTGTTCAGACATATCGGCTGCTGCAGTTATACAATGCCTCTGCTCACTGTTCGCCATCTTTGGAGCCCCTGCCTATATACATTCGGACCGAGGGGCTTCTTTCATGTCAGAGCAGCTTCGGCAATTTCTACAGGAACGAGGAGTAGCTATAAGCCGGACAACTCCCTACAACCCTAAGGGTAACGGCCAATGCGAAAGATATAACGACATTATTTGGAAGACCGTTCAATTGGCTGCCTCAAATAACGGATGTTCAATTGATAATTGGGAAAATCTCCTTCCTGTCGCATTATACGCCATTCGTTCCCTATTTGTACCGCCACGAATGCCACCCCACACGAAAGGTTTCTACCTTTTCAGCGACGGAGTTCGGCGGGAGCTTCGCTTCCATCTTGGCTCTCTCGACCCGGTACTGTGTTTCTGAGACGACATGCACGTTACACCAAGAACGATCCCTTGGTGGACGAGGTAGAGCTTATAGAGGCGAACCCTCAGTACGCGCTAGTACGACATGCAGATGGTAGAGAGTCTAATGTGTCTCTCAAGGACCTAGCACCGGCCGGAGACGTACCCGGACCGTGGATAGCCTCTGAGGACAGACCAACTACCCCTGACACTGAGGCCCCTCCGGAAGATCATGGCACTGAAATTGTTCCTGACACGCCGTCTGACGACACTCTCCGTTGAGGCCCCGTCAGACACTTCGGATGGGCCAACACCTGAAACCCTGACAGATGAAGGGCTAGCACCGAATAAACGTGTTCATCCAGAGACTGACTCTGACGCGGAACGGCCTGCTCCTCTGAGAAGGAAACATTTCGGAGCAAGGTATTTTAGAGCCCACAAGACAGGCTCACACTGAAGAGTCTCCCTGTTCGAGTACTCCGACCACGAATCATGGACTGCCGAGGCGGCCACTGCGAACTCGTAGGGAGCCTGGACATTTAAGGGACTTTCTTCCCTATCAGTGAGAAATTTGGTGGGGAGAATGTTGTGAATATGGATTATCTCCTCTTAGATAATCCAAGCTATAAAAAGCTGTATACTCCTGATGTCAAGTCAGATGAGTAGTAGTATTCTTAATTGAATAAACGATTACTAGACAGAATCTCTTGTCCTGTTTTTTCATATATATATATATATATATATATATATATATATATATATATATATATATATAATGAAAAAACAGACCACTTTTATACCATTACAATAATTTATTTCACCAAAATAAATTATTGTAATGGTACTTTTAAAGTGGTTTGTTTTTTCATTAAATATTATCTCTGGATTCCCATTGAGCATTAATATTATAAATTAATTGATTAAAATATATATATGTATGTATAGATAGATAGATAGATAGAAGCACAACAGATAGATACAAAAGAGATAGATAGATATGGGTAGAATGAGATAGAAACATTGATATGGACAGAGTGATATATATATAGAGAGAGAGAGAAGGAGAGATAGAATGATATATAGAAACAGTATGATATCGACAGACAAGAACAGAGCAGATAGATATGAACAAAATTGGATAGATAGATAGATAGAGAGAACACACTGACATATAGACATTGAGATTATCAAACTCAGACAGACAGACAGACAGCTTGGTCGATATGTTAAGATTGAGATTGATAAATAAAGGGAAAATGTAAAAATAAGTAACATTGATAAAAAAAAAATACTCTGAAAGTCAGTTGAATACTTAAAATCTCTTGAATTACTTAAACGTAAATTAATGCGACAGTGGCTTTTATTTTATCTCCAGTATTTTGTTCTTTATACTATTTATTTTTTTAATCTACCATAATAGTGCCATTATAAGTTTCTCGTTCATTCAAATTTGCAGAGCTCGACTGTTTGACGTGAAAGCTTCTCTTAATAATGAAAGTCACAGGCGAACACTACTGCATTGCAAGGAACAAGAACAGATCAATTCGTTTTTAGGTCGTCGTCGACTGTGAAGCGAAGAATTCGTTTGACACATCATCGTCTTCTTCATCATTATCAACTTCATCATCATTATCATAGCTTCCTCTTCTTCTTTTTCACTTTCAGTTATTACGTTTCTCCTACCCCCACCTTCTTTCTATCTTTTGACTTCATTATTACCAAAATGAAACAAAATAAAAAGGAAAAGAGAGAAGAAACTACTCTTTGGAATAAATAAATATAGTTTCTTTTTTTTCTGTTCATCATCTTGAATAAAAAAAGATAATCTTTTTTTTGTTGTTTTTCGTTTACCTCTATTTTTTTAGAACTCGTTTTTGCCACAAATAAGTTGGGAAATTAAAATAAGTACATTGAATCCCCAGCTAAAAAGAAAATGAACACTTTTTTTTATTTTATTTTATTTTTTTACCTAACTTAATTTGATTTTTTTTTAAATATACACAGCAATTGATTTTTAATCGCCAACAAGAAAGAAAAGAACAGAAAAAAAATCATTTGTATACGCATGTAACTTGATAGTCCCTTTTTCTTCTTACAAGGAAGAGAGAAAAAAAGAGCACTGTGGTTGGAGCAAGTGGAAGTAGTTCAACTTGTGTAAGGATGGCTGCTAAAAATCCCGCGATGTAAATGAATTGGCCATGATGGCACACGCTTGGCCGGACATACTCGGGCCAAAAAGCACTTTCTTTTAACAACTATGGCCGTTCCCCTTCTCTTCTCTCCTCGACCTTCCCTGTCCCCGGCCTTCCAATCTCAGGTCTTCTTCCACTTTTTAATTTGTACTTTATCTCTTTTTACCTTTTCGTTTACTTTTCTTTCTTTTCCATTCCATCTTTCTTTCTATTCACATTCTCTTTTTTTGTTTCTATCTACCTATTTTTTCTCTTGCTTTCTCTTTTTCCATTTATCTTTCTTTTTTTTTTAGTTTTTATTCTCTTTCGCACTCGTCTTTTTTCTTTTCTCGGTGAATTTCTGTTTTTTTTTTTTAATTTCCGTCTTCCTTTTTGTAGTTTATTTCCCTTCTCTTTTTGTACCCCCACCCTTTCTCATATATCATTTATTATTCGTTTAATTCTTCTTCTTATCTTCCTTTCTTTTTCTACGTTCTATTCTTTAAAATTTTTGCTTTTACGTTTGTTTCTCTCCTCTGTTTTTCTTTCTTTGAAACTCTCTCTTAAAAACAAACTCTCTTTCTCATTTCTTTTTCTCTTCTCGTTCATTCATAATCTATATATTTTTCTGTTTCCGTCTTTCATCTTTATTCTAATCATCCTCTTTCGTCCTTTAGTTTCCATTTTCTCTTTTATTTTTCCCCAATCTCCCGCATCTTTTTCTCTTTCTTCTTTGTATCTGTTTCTTTCTTACTGCTTCATCTTTTCTTTCCCCATCTCTTTCCTAATTAGCTCCTCTCGTTCAATTCGATTTATTCTCCATTACATACTCTCTCACCTACCCCCTTAGTTTTCTTAGCTCTCTCTCTCCTCCTTTTTTTATTGTTTTTCTGTCCCTCTATTCATTCCTTTGACTCTGCCCACTCCCACTCTCCTCCTCCCACTTCCTCTTTTCTGAATGAATGAGTCAATTGCCAAAGGGAACAAGAGAGGAGAGGGGGGCGGCATATAAACAAAAGGGAAACAACTGATATTCACGTAAAAAATGGCCGGCACTACACCGCCAGTCAAACACAAACAAATCCACAACCTCCGACTTTAAAATAAATTTTCACTCAGAAACAAAACCTTTTATCGACTACAAAACTCATCAGAATGTTTAAGTTATTTCTTCAGGGTTGATTATACATTTCTTTGTTATTATGTACAGGGTTCATTTTAGCCCGGGTGGGCGTTTTTCGGTATCAGGAACGACACACTACTCAACACCGCCTTCATTGTCCCGCGGTGTAAAAAAAAAAAGGTCTTCGTGCCTCTAAGGTTTTTTTCTTTTTTGGGGTCGGAAAGAAAGAAAAGAAAAGGAGGAGAAAAAAGAAATATTTTCCCCAAATCCGTCGACGTCTAAGGTGTGTTTTAGTTCCCGGCTTTTAGCCGGCGGAGGTAAGTGTTACTTGGAACCATCAAAGGGCGTCCTACGACGAGACGAAGGTGTCGAGGTTCGATCCGTTTTTTCTCCCATCGTTACTCTTTACACTCCTCCACCCATTTTCAAAGGAAAAGAGAAGAAAAACCAAAAAAACAAAACAAAAACCAAAAGAAAAAAAATGGGGAGAAAATGTAAGCAGGTACTTTTTTTTAGGGGGTCCATTCCCACCCCTTACCTTTTTTTCTGGCTTATTTTTTATCCCCCCCCCCCGCTTTCTTCCCTTTTTTTTACTTATTGCCACCTTGAACAAAACCAAACCACATTTTTTCACTTGCTTTTATTTTTAAAAAATCCTCTTTCTTTATTCTCTGGATTTATGAATAACTTGTTTTCAAAATCCTATCACACACCAGAGAACCCCAATTTGTTCTATGGGGGTGGGGTTAAAAAAAAATTCTCAGCTGTTGGGTCGGTGAAGCTCCTTTATTTGTAAAAAGAATCAAGTTAGAGAATATAGAGAGGAAGGCCTGATTTAAAACCATCCCCCCCACCAATTTTAAAGCCCTTTTCGACCCCCTTTATATTTTCCCTCGTTTTTACTTTATTTTGGATTAATTCTAGTTGATGAGAGGCTTTATACCCCCATCACTGCTTGGTAAGATGAATATGTATTTCCATCTTATTCTGACGGGTCGATGAGGTTCGTTACCATTCATTAGAATAGTAAGGGATAACTTCTTTTAAAACAATAATATCTTTAAAATTTTTGTTTTAATTAAATATTTGCCATGAAAGCTTCTTTTTTATTTTATTTTTGTATATTTTTTTTGTATATTCACTTTTAGTTTTATACATGAAAAAAGACGGATTCTTGAAAAGATTTTTATTTACAATGCATTTTTACTGTTTACACTAGTTTCATTTATATTTATTATTTTATAATGCCAAATTGGTAACTTTCATTGCAAGAAGAAAGAAAAAAGAAACTTTTAACTCGTGATAAAAAAAAAAATTACCCTACGAAGCTTTCCCAAGTAAGACCTTATTAAAAATTATTTTTTCATTTTAGGGGTTGAATAGACGGAAAAGGAAAAGGGTTACTTTCTTATTCATCAGTTTATTGGGAATTAGTCGGGGGAAAATACTTCATCCATTCCTTCAAGTGTTGGTTGATTACTTGTAATTTTATGTACCAAACAAAAACTATTTCTTCTGTTTTAGTCTGTTTTTTATTTACGAAATCCATACCCTGTTTATCTCTTGTTTTTGTTTTGTTGTAAAATGTGAATGTGTATTATTAAGTTAATAATTGTATTATAGAGTACACATACTTATCGTCTCCCAGATTAAAGCTAGTCTGTATTTAAAATTCATATTTTAAAAAATTTATACTTGTTTTTTTTTTCCTTGTAGAAAACACTAAAAAATGTTAATTTTCTTTTTTGTAAAATAATGTTTTTTTTTTGTTTTTTTTTTTCAATTTATTTACTACTTATTTTCCCAATCTTGATTCCCCTATGTTATTTTTTTGTTTTATATTTTTCATTTACGAGAGGGAAATTCCTTTCCCATTCTATACCCCCTTCCGTTCGTAGAGGGTGGGGGCAGGTGCTCTGAGGAAGATTCGAAGTACCAAGAGATAGCAGAATAACAAGGAGGAGATACTTTTTTTTTAGCTCTTTCAATTATCTCACCCAGTCAATAAATATACGCATTTTATTTCTGTAGAAAGCAGATGGAATATTAAGTCGAATTAAAAAAAAAATTCAAGCCTCAAATCGCCAGTTTATTTATATTTTTACTTTTTGTTGTTGTCCCTTTTCGTCTCTCCCGTAGGAACAGTGCATTTATGTGTGTGCGTGCGGCCATTGTAATCCTCCTGTACACACCCACATTAGAGAATTAGCGAAATGATGCAGAGTGTCCGTGTGTACGTGCTCCAATCTATCTGTCTATCGACTTTACCAGTCTCGTAGTCTTTATCTTTTCTCTGCTAGTCAGTCATCTTTTCCTCTCTAGACATGATTACCCTTGTTGAACTATGTCTGTTTTTTCCCCTGCTTATCCGTCATCAAGCCGTATAGTTTCATTTCTTATCATTCTCTTTTAAAATCTTCTCTCTCTCATTTTCTTTCTTTCTTTCACTGTTTCTATTGTTTTTTAGTTTATGTATCTTTCTCGGTCTTTTTGTTTACATCTCTCTTTCACTTTTCTTGTTTATGTCTAGCTCTTTTTGTTTGTTTTTCTCTTTCTCAGTCTTACTTTCTCCCTTTCTCAGTTTTGTTTCTCTTTCAGTCCCCCCCTCTCAGTTCTGTTTTTACTCTTTCTTTTCCCTATTTTTCCATCTCTCTCTCTTTCACTTTTCAGTCTATTGATCATATCCATCTATCTCGATTTGAATTTTCATATCTACCTATTGATACCCGGTTTAAACATTTCTGTTAGTGTTAATTGATTAATTTAAAATCTAGTCAGCATCTTTACAACTCAACTGATTATTATTTTATTTATTATTCATGAATTGAAGACATTTTTTTTTAATGTTTTCATCGTATTTATTTTAAAATTTTTGAAATATTTTAAAAATTTGAAAATTATTTCTTTATAACAATTTAATTTTTGTGTTTAAATCTATCCAAAAATGCTTCTGTATAATTTAGAAATTAATATTTGTTATTTTTTAGAATTTGCAATTTTTGTATTTTTGTGTTGTGAATGGTGAAAATACAGTATTTTCCTTGGACTTTTTTCTCTTTTTGCCGCCAATCAAAGGGTCATATGATGCCAAAGTTTAGGAGTTCAAAGAAATAAGTATGCTCAATGATTTACCCTGTACTTTTTGGATTTACAAATGCATTCTTATATAAATTTATTCTCCTTTCCAATATGAGATGAAGGATGCTAGTTTTAATCTTAAAAACTTCTCTATATTCCTTCAACAAGTTCTCTTTTGAAATTTGGCTGAATGTGAATGTAAGAATTTAATGTTATTTATTTATTATTAGTGGTGGAGATACAATCTCCTGAAGCGCCTCAAAAATCTACACTATGTAAAAAAAAAAAAAAAAAATGTTGTTTATGAATTCTTGTGTTCTTTGGGAGATTGGATCATCAACAAACAACATTAAATTCTTACATTGGTTACACATGCACCACACTCTCTTGTAGGTTGGCTTGTCATTTGTCAAAATTTAGTGCAATTCACACATATATACTCAACATATAAGAAATAACCAAAATAATATGAAACAAATTTTAATAGACAGCACCAAAATATTATATAGGACACATTGCAAAGACTCAAAATTCAGGAAAGTGTACAAGGAAAGCAGCCAACATTAAACAGGGTATCTTTCTCCATAGGAAATTTTATATTGGTGTGTGTGTGCGTGTGTGTATATATATATATATATATATATATATATATATATATATAAAAAAAAGTAATGAAAAGTTTGGTAATTCATATGGATAATCCCTCCCCAAATTGTGATCATGTCTGTCATACTCCTCCTCCCCCTCTCTCTATATCACCTTACATCAACTTAAAACTATCCCTCAAAAGTATAAAAACTATATGTAAATTTAAATATTTTTTCACCCTTGGAAGTGTGGTCTGATGAACCAGGTAAAAACCATATACCTAAGGAAATAAATTATAACCAATGGATCCTTAATGTTGTTGGTTTTCTATTTAAATTGAATATATATATATATATATATATATAAAAATGCATGTATAAATTTAGTTTGACTGTTATAGATGACGTCACCTTTAAGGGACTTGAAATAATTGGTTTCAGCAGGCTAAGAAATATTGGAATTTGCTATAAACACAATTTTAATACCAATTAGAGTGACAGTCAAAAGTACTTGAATGGATACAATGAATGAACTTTGGAAAGTTAATTCTGACATAAAACAACTTTAGTTAATAAAACTAAATAAAATGTTTGAGAGAAAGAACTTGTTGGTATTGTTTAATAAAACTTATTTAAAAAAAAAAATATATAAGATGCATACTTATCTCTAGCCAGTGTGCTGGCGTCACAGATTCTGAAATCCACTCATCAGGAGACAAAAGTATTTTGGTTATCTATCTATACATTTACACACACACTCACCAGCTGACTCATCCAGTACTTATGAGATTTACAAACACGTCATTGTTTACAGGATTTTTGAATTTATTCCCATGATCTACTGGAGATTATTGCTAATACAACAGGGTACCGATTTAAGTTTTATACAAATTTACTTGTATCAAGAATTTTATTAATTTTTCAAAAACTTGTTTTGAGTTCTATATATGAGTGGACATTTTGTAAAATATGTGATAATCTCCCAAAATCATTTTTTTATAGTACCCTTTTATATTTTTTAAAATATCATAAGTATATTTTAATCTAACTTTACAAATTGCAAAAAAATATAAAATATATACTTTTCTTGTAGTTCTCTTTTATTTTAAACTCAGTAAAAAAAATTTCATAATAAAAATTCATTTTTAAAAATTTCTTTTATACAGTTTGCAATAATTTGACCAAATTTGATTTTATTTATTTACACTATTCCTTACAAAATGATTGATATTTTTTCTTTTTCTTCTTCTTTTTTTCCACTATTTTGATTCCAAAATCATATTTTGTGAATTACATCATGAACCTCATGATTTTAGTGGTTATCAATCACCTTAATCTATTAGATTAAGGTGATTGATACCCACTAATTCATGTTCACCAAAGTTCTCTCTGATCAATCCCCAACTGAAAGAATCACATGTAAAATTGAAAATCTATTGAACTCTTCAAATAAAGACTCAAATACCATTTTCAAATTTAAATTTGATGCATCCTGAAGATTACTTTGTAGGAATTTTTGCTTATTCCTGAAAATTGATTGTTAGATATTTTTCTTTTAAATTATGAATGTTAATTTTCTCTCTCTCTCTCTCTCTATCTATCTATCTATCTATCTATCTATCTATCTATCTATCTATATATATATATATATATATATAATCTTGGCAGTGAATACTTTATTCATATTTATAAAATCAGTTCCAAAAATGACAATTAGATTTTAAAAATTTACAGTTTTTGTTTGTGATTCAGAAAGTTTTTCAGAAATCTTTGCCAAAGTTTTTGAAAATAAGCACTACACACACACACACACACACACACACACACACACACCTATCTGTTCTTAATTCTGTGATGTGTAAGTCTCACTTTGTTTTCTCTTTATTGTCCTTTCTTCATAAAGACAATAAAAGATTGTTTTCTTCTTATATTGCTTTAGATGCACAAATGAGTAATGGCTGGCCAAAACAAGAAAGGATTGCAAAACAAATTCTGATGTTTGGTCATTTCAAAAGATGTTGGCAAGTGAAACAGGCAAATGATGGCATTATTTACTTATGGCTCATCTTTTCTGTTTCAGATCAGTCTAGTAACTGTGTGATCTGCCTAACATAATATTTGTAAGATGTTATTTGGTGTAGTTGATATATCACTTTTGTTTATTTACCCACATCTTGAATGTTCAAATAAGAGCAATGGCACTAAGTTACTATTTGTTAGTTAATTTATGGATGTGTAGTTAGTATAGCAGAAAGTGGCAACATCAAGCTAAGTTCAAATTCTGGTTGATTCTGTTTTGTTCACATCTCACTAATTCCCATGGAAAAGGCATGAATCCAGCTTCCCTCCAGTTATGGATTAAATAGCAGGGCAGATTGGATTCTTTTGGTTTAGATGGCAATTAAAACCTGAGTAAGTCAGTTTAGAGGCTTTGTGGCACCATGTGCATCATTTCTCTCTTATCAATTCTTCCTAAAAGTTTGCATGTTTGTACAAAAACTTTCATCCTTCAAATTCCACTCTTGTTCGTTACATTCATTTACACACAAATAATCTTGGGTAAAGTATGAATCCACCCCCTTACCCCCCCCCGCCGCTATCATTAATTATTATCATTATTATCTCCAAAATATTGTTAATGCAATATTTACTTGGAAAAAAAATATTCTTACAATCCAAAAATAGATCTCAGATTTAAACAACCTGCAAAAAGTTGATAAGCCATAAAAAACAAATCAGTCAACCAATCAGACAGAAAAGATACAAGAACTTCTTTGATTTCTATAAAACTTTAAAATTTCAGAATCATATGATATCATATTTATCTTTGATATTAGCATTGCTATGACTACTGTCCATATAAATTAAATGTTACATGCATATTCTTATACATGTACTAAAGTGTAAGTAGCTGAAGTAGTGCCTTGTAGCAAGAGATAGTGAATTAATGGTAATATTGCCATTTCCTTATAAGGAAACATTTGGCATTCATTGACGCAGCAGCAAACGCTACTTTTGGTTGAAATTTATATTTCTCTTGAAACAATTTTTCAGGCAATAGGATTCACAAGAAATAATCTTTCCAGTATTGATAGGGGGTTCCTTCTAGTGATGGCACAATTAATCTGAATCAGAAATATCGGAATATTTTGGGGTATTAGAACCAGAAAATTTTTAACCTAATTTCTGATTCCAAAATCGATTCTTTGCATATTTTTTTTTTTTTAACTTATTTTCCCCTTCCTGGTACTAATGATAAAAAAATATAAATATTTATTGGTTTTAAATCAATAAATATTTATATCCCCCTTATTAGTAAAAATAAAATCAGTAAAACTAAAATCTATAGATGATAATAACACCTAAGTATGATGTAAATTTATTTTACTGGTGTTTTAAAAAAAAAAAAATGTTTAAGTTTCTACTCAGTTCTTGAACTTTCTATAAAGTTTGCTAGTTTAAAATCTGTTTCAGTTCAAGATAAAATTATTTTTAATTTCTTTTTAAACATTGTTAATTCATCCATTTAATATTATAAATTATTAATTTAATAATTATAATCAAACTTATGTAATATAAACACAAAATGAATTCATGTTGTTCTATTGGGCGCTCTTTTCAGACAATTTTTATTATTTTTTCAATTTATAAAAAAGAAAAAAACAGTGTCATCTGCATTTAAAAACCCAGAAAAAAACTTTAGAATCTTATATAAGATTTTATTTTAAAATTCAAATTTTCAATTATTCTTAAGTAGAAATTAAAAATAAAATTCTATGGAAGGAGTTTTGAACAGCACTTAACCCAAAAGATCATATAAGGGTGGTGTTAGGTGCTTACGTTTCCTTTGGTGGGAATTACATAAAATAGGGAGTTACTTTTCAATCACAGTATATTGCATTAAAAAATATAAAGAGTGATGATAATGTTTTTCAGTGGTGGAATTGAAATAAAAATGAATTTCCCATCATGTTTCCGTTTTGCCAGGAAATATCTATCAGCACTTCCTTCTGTTGAAAGTGAATGGTTATTTAGTAATGGAAGTGACATTTACTTGCCAAAAAGAAATTGTCTGAAAGGTGA